GTGTAGGTGCCCGTGCTGCTGGCGAAGGTCCCGGTTCTCAAGGTGCCTGAGCTTCGAGGGGGTGCGGGGGGCCCAGGTGGGAAGAGCAGCGGCGGGACGATGGCGAGGAACGGCTCGAGGATGTTCGAGGACAGATGGGGCGGGACTGGGGAGAAGGGCGAAGGCGACGCGCCCAGGCACTCTCCCGCCCCTTGCGCGCAGATGGTTACTCCGGAACGCGCGGCCGGGCCACGCCGGAAAGGCCTTTTCTCCTTGTCCCCTCCCTTCTCTTCCCCGCTCCCCGCCTGGACACCCGGCGAAAAAGCAAGGTGCGGGCGTACCTGGAGCGAACACCATGATTTCCTCCAGCCGCTACGCCCCTGGATTAAGAGAGAAAGACAGGCAGACGGAGGACGGGAGGGCGGCCGGGACTCGGCGGGTCCGGCGCGGGAGGGCGCGCACTGCGCGGGCGGGACGGTCAGCACCTCGGACAGCTCCGGCCGCGCGACCCCGGGCTGCAGCTCCGGCCGCCGCGGCGCGCTCGGCCTGCACAATGCACCGCTGCGCCCGCGGCCACCGCGGCGGCGGGAGGAGGAGACCGAGTCCCCGCTCAGCGCATCCCTCATGCCTGTGCCAGCGCCGCGCACTGCTGGAGCGAAGCACCTCCGCCCGCTTTCGCCGGAGGAAGGACGGAAGAGGAAGAAGGAGAAAGGTAATTGCCCGGCTTCCCGGCAGGGGGACAGCTAATTGCTTCTAATTACCTGCTGTCGCTCGCCCCCGTGGATATTGGACTGACATTTAAGATAGGTTTGTCTTTTTTTTTTTTAAGCTCAAAGAGCTTTACTCTCGAGGCCGACTCTGAGTTCTCCGAGTTGGGCTGGCTCTGAACAGAGGGGAGGGGCCGCCAAGTTCATCCGTCCTTGGGGTCCGTGAGTTCTCTCTCGCGAGTCTCAGTCCTCTGCTAACGTCAGGAAGAGAGCAGGAGGGAAGGACAGAGTGACTTTGGAGCGCTTGAGGAGGGCGCCGCTCTCAGGCCCCGCTCCGAGGCTGCACATCTGGCCCTGAGAGTCCCTAAGCTTGAAGGTCTTCGAGGTCATCACTATAGAAAAAGCAAGACCAGCCAGGGCAGAGGAAAGAGAGCTCAGGGAGGCAGGTCTCCTCCACCAACAAACTCACACACCCTCTACAACAATGAGCCAATAGAGTCCTCTTCAAGTGTGAGAACAGCTCTGAGATCAATCAAGAAACATCAGTGCTTCCCCTGCCCTCACCCAGCTGAAAACTGCGCCCCCACCCCCAACCCCACACACCCAGTTCTACCCTAAAGGTGCTGGGACGTGGCTCACACTCACTTCATGCTCCTAATCCGTTGCTCATTTCAAAGTGTCTATTCCCCGGAGTGAAGCTTGTGCAGTGCGCACAGCCCACACTAGATGTCGCTCAGCTTGAAACAGGTCCATATGGGTTACAAACCCAAAGCCACATGGGATCCTCTTGCCTCAAAGGAGATGTCAGTTGCTTTGGCTTTTATCCCGTATTTTTGTGGCTGAATAAGGTTTTCCAAGAACAAAGGTGATTAGGGTCATCTCCAGTGTTATGGGGTTTCTTCGCTTGCACCTCTCCCTGGAAAACATAGCTATTCTGAAAATACAGTATTTCTTAATAGTTTGGTTGGTAGCGGTAGGTTAAACAGTCTTTTGGCAAATATAAAGCGTTCAAATAGCCTTGTTGGCACTGGTTTTGTTCAAAGCCATCTGATAGATTGAAAATGCAAATAGTTTTGCAGCTCTTGAACTACAGTTTGGATGGAGGCATATGGGCAGGCTCAACATAACACAATCAGTGCTGCTCTCAGCACCTGGCTCAGCACAGGCTTGAACAGACGGGCCCTGCCTCGGCGGCAACAAGATGCACGTCACCCATGGGCAGGTTGAAGTGTGTGCATGACAAGAGGAGTCCTCTCACTTCCCCAAGTTACACTAAAAGCCTGGGACCAATGATGCTTCGCTCTGCCTTTCTTCACATGCAGGGAAGTGTGAAGCACATTTGAAGTAATCTTTGAATGAAAGGCCTCTTTCTTTCAACACATTCAAAAGGGCTCTCTTTTACAGCCCTGATATTTAAATGGGCTTTCTTCTCCTAAGGCATAAACAATTACCCATGACTAAGTTCAAGAAAAAGCAATATGGAATAGGAACAGAAAAAAAACTTGGAATCAGGCAGACTCAGACCCAGATACTACATTACATCTTCACCATTTACTAGATGTGTGATCTTGCATAAATTACTTAACCTGTCTTGTCTCAGCTACAATATAACAATTAAGGTATCTTGAAAGTTTGTTGTGAGGATTAGCTGTGATATGTATTAATGGATTAATTAAGAGAGAGCACAGCCCCAATTAAACCCATTCCTGGAAATCACTGACACCCTGGGAGCAGGTGACATCCTACAGCAGCAGTCC